GAGATGTATGTCAGTGTCAAATTATAAACTGGGAACGGGTTCCCCCCCCACTCACTGGACTCATTCCCTGTGTCATGGGAGGGAAAATATTATTTGTAATATACACACACACACAAAACCATTTGAGAAATGCGTAAACATCCCGGTTTTAGTGCAAATAGACAAAGTTCCTGTTTTCTCAAGCATGTGAAGGCGTTGAATTTAGTTCCTCATCTCAGAACACCAGAAATACTGCAACGATTGTTTGTTTTACTCCGACTGCTGCCAAGCCACTTTAACTCACCTGTGTCCAAAGCGCGCACGGCGACTCAAACTGTATTAAATCATCAACCGTCCGTTAAACCTTACAGGATAGAGGTTGTTTCCGCGATGAATCCCGAGCACTGAGATCCAGATTGAAGTCGAGGATCCGCAGTTTCTTCACAAGAGGAAATGAGACAAAGTTCATTCTTATCTCAAACAAAACCAACAGCGAGAATCCTTCACATGTGACCACTGATGGACTTCAAAGCAGGAAGTAATACTTCCTTGATACTTTTATTACTGTATCTGCTGTAGTTCAATGTCCTGGAGTAAGTGTAGAAAAGTATGAACACAATATCCTTAATTGCCACAATCACTTTTAAAAATATATTACAGAATAATGTACATTATATTGAATTTAAAATATTGATGCATTAATGCTTATTTGACCTACTTTATCTACTGGGCAGCCTGTGACAGTCCTACCTTAACCTATAATACATAAATCATTGGTTGAATGCTTTTTGTATTATATGTAAATTAAATAAATGTAGAGTAAAAAGTTCAATTTTTGACTGTTAAATGTAGTAGAGTAGAAGTATAAAGTCACAGAAAGTGGAAATACAAACTTGTACTTCTGTACAGTACTTGTTTACTTGAGTGAATATTTAATCTCAACCACTGGGCTACAAAATGCTACAGAGTAAATAAGATAGCATGGACAGATAAAGATAAAAACAACTTTATTTCAATAAAAATGTAGTTACAACAACAAGCATTAACATTTAGTCAGTAACAGATTCTGGAGGAAGTTCAATGGTTAGCTCATCGAGTGTTTGAAGAAAGGAATCCAGCTCTGAACAATAATCTGGAGAGAGGAGATACAGTAAAGTTAATGATACAGTAGGTTAATGACACCTGTAGTTAATGATACTTAGTTTGTAGCCTGTGCCCCATATTTAGGGACTACAGTCACTGTAATTGTCTTATGGAGAGCTGCAGGTCTGGCCACCATTTACATCAGATAAACATTTTACTCATGAGAACTGCTCACCCACACAATAGTTCTGAGCTTTTTAGAGTTCTAAGATACAATGTGGTTCATAGGATTTCTGTGGTTGCGATCACAGCATTGAAAATGTTACATTGCTAAATACTAGAGGGAAATACTACAAGTCTACTTCAATAGGTTTAGGCAATATGAGAATACCTTTTAATATCTGGTGGCATTTGATAATTGTAGTCAAATGTTGCAAATCAATGAGAATATTTTATAATACAGGATTTTTATCATTTCTTCAAATGTGATTGATGAATATAAATGTCAAATATTAAATTAGAAAAACTGCCAAAACAGACCACCTGGTCATTTTAGCCACACATTTTTTAGATGTTCTAGAAATCTCCAATAGATGTCCTGATAGTAAATTACATATACTGTGATGTGAGGGGTCATCTGTACCAGCCACATCTGGGCTTCCCTGTATTGAACAGACTGATGCTTTAAGTGTGGTGTCAAAACCGGTTTTCATTTCAAACCACAGGCGTGAATGTGGCCATAATTGGAACTTTATACCTGAACGTTTTGGCATCTTTACAGGGGACAGATTTGGGAGTGGAGCAAACTTTTCCAGGTCTTCCTCACAGAGATGTGGAGCTTGTGGCAAACAGGCCAGTCCAGGCAGAGCAAAGCCACTGAGATGAATCAAATCTTCAGGTACACTGTACTTCTCAAACTCTGAAAAAATACAAACCTCATGTTTTAAAAATATATTTCAAACATTGTGGGTGAAAGCCACATCATGGGTGAGTGAGGTTTATTCTCGAGTCATTAACATATTTTATGTGCACGTTCTCTTATGTAGCAAACAGATGAGCCTCAAGGGGCTCCTGAGGGAATAAACTATTAATAGAGTCAAGGCAGTAAAGCTAATGTGACGCTGCAGTGGGATTTACAGATACAATCTAATCTCTGATTTGAGCTGCAGTAAACAAAACCTGTGCAAACCTATGCAAAACTATCAACCTCTCACTCTGCTAAGACCCTCCCACAAGTTCAAATGGCAGCAGAGTTGGTTCATCCCTTGTAGGGCATTATACACCATTGGAGGCAGGTGTTGGAAATGTATGACAAGTTGCAGGATTTTCTGCCTTTGAATTAGACCTTCACCATCTGAAGGTCTGTTTGGAGAACCAACAATTGGAAGTGTGAAATGATCTGTGATGGGCCAAAGTCTCCCCTCACAGGCTAGAGTTTCTACAGCCTGAAAACAGAGCAACAGATGTCTAGTTCTCACAAACAAAAAAGCTTTAGGCAACATTGTACCTCCAAATCCCAGGCCTAAAATGGGATCAGACAGCTGATTTCATAGTTACCTAGTGGGTCATAAGGGATGAACTTTTCAATTTCTGGATATTCCTCCACTTTGGAGTGAGGAGCATGTTTGACTTTAATTTCCTGTGGGGAACAAAATATACTGCATTAGTACATGTATTGTTTGAAGTATAGAGCAAATGATGATAGCCTGAGAGTACTTTTTAGAGTGTAGCCATTGTGATTTATTCCAACCTGTGGCTTTAGGAGTTTCTTCTCCTGTGCGTTGACAGCAGGGGTTGTGGTTATTTTGTTGACAGAAGCAAAAGCCTTACGACCAGATGGAAGGGGAGTAGTAAAGGTCTTCGCAATCATTGGAGATTTCAAGAGTTTCTCTGGTGGAAAAACAAAAAGGTCAATGCATATGTCCACAGACCAATATTACTGCTTGAAGCACAATGTAGGAATTTCCATACCTGGAGCAGACTGAAGCCGCTGTCGCATCTTCAGATTAGATGGATGAAGACATGCATTTTCTCTCTCTGCAAACTCTATGTTGGCCATTGTATCTGCAAGCACAATCTGATATATTAGCTACTGCATGGTAGCAAAGCAAGCAAACACCACAAAGAGACCTTTCTGTGGCTGACATTTTGACATATTATAGCAAGAAGAGCACAGGTGTAATGCCGGTTATTACATTTAGATCAGTCAGTCACAGGGCTCTGGTATTGTGCAGGCTTATAGACACAAGGGAACCAAATTATCATTCATGTTTTTGGAGCTGAAACAGTCAAGTAATTTATTAACAGAAAATGGGCAACTATTTTGATAGTTGCTTAAAAATTTTAGGCATTTAAAAATTTGAAATATTCTCTGAATACAGCTTTTTTTGGTCTTATGATAGTAGACTGAATAACTTTGGTTTTATACTGTTGGTGACAAGTAACTGTCTTCCAGGCTCAGGGACCTCTTGACTTTGGAAATAGATTTAAAGCTAAGTGGATCTTGAGTTAAGATTGTCATTCACACCAGACTTGAAGTGATGGTTATAAAGCAGACTCCTTCCACTTGCGAGACTAGAAGATGTGAATGAAGCTCTGGAAAAAGCCACTATGGACCTTATTTTTCTAGTCATTAGGATATATTATTAGAAGCAACAAACAAAATACAGTTCTGGCAATTGCTCTGTAAAACTGTATTTTCCAGTGGATCAGGTCATGTGAAATCAAAACAAGCTCTAAATGGCCAGTATGGCCGGTTGCCAGCCTGTGTCTACTCAGCATCTGACAGTCCTTAAAGCGAACAGTTAAATGTACTGCAACTAATAGCAAGTCTGGCAGTGTTACAGCACAACTGTTACAGCTACCATTAACGTACGACACTGGTCCCAAACTGATGGTCTTTGGTTTAACATTCACACGCTGCTGCTGCTTTCTTCCATGTTCTGTCCGTAGCACAATTTAATTAACTGAACGTTACATTAGATTTTTTGTTGTTAGTCATTGGAACGTTAAACACAACCTGAGAGAGTGTTGCAAGCGTTCTAGAATGATCCAGCTAGCATCACACTGCTAACACCTTAGCAGAGTTTTAGCATCAAAACAACAGCGTTACATTAACAGCTGGTCGAGCAGCTGGCCCGATAAAAGTTAGCTAGCTAGCTTACGTCCGTCGCGTCACGTCTTCGTTAGTTTTAAAACGCACTGATGTTAATAGAGTGCTGAGAATTGTAATCGGATACACCGATGTTTACGTTACCTCTATCAGTTGGTCGCTCTCGAGCTCTCAGTCCACAGTTGTTATGGTATAAAAACTGTTGACAGAGACCGCGGCTCCTTTTTAAATTCACTGCCTTCGTCCCATTGGTCGCTCTGGCACATGTGACTTGAATGGGCGTTTCCCCAAAAATATAGTACAATCATATATTTAATAACTCACGTTACATAATTATTAGCTCAAACATAATTACATGTATATTATAATACCTAAATTAAGTATTTAGAAATCCCCTTATGATCTACAATGAAAAGCATCTGTATTCATATATGTAACTGTTGGCTATCTTAATCAGCCCTACTTCCTCGTCGGTTCAAAAATGCGTTTATGACTACATTTAATGAATTAATAAATCATATCAAGACATATTTTCCTTTATAAACAGTTTAATTCCGTTTCTAACGTCCATTGACTGCGGTCGTCTTCTATTCTCACTGGACGAAACCATGACGGCATCCTGTCGGGGGGGGGTCTCAATGGGTAGCGCTAATTTCTAATCATAATTATTTGGAAGACATGTTGTTTTTATTTAGTTTTTCCAAAACACGAGTCAGAGTGCACGCGTCGTTTATAACCGTCTTAACTAAATAACGCTCAGCGTGAGCACAGTTATCACAGTATCTCATACCTAAACTAGCCTGTTGAACAGTGGTACAGTCCCACTAGGCCCTCTTTCGGCGGAACTCCACGGTGCAGATCCCTTCGCTAAACACAGACGGCAGCAGAGGTTTCGTCCTCCGGCTAACGGCTACTACTATGGCGTCAACCGAGATAGCGAGGCAAGCGGTGAGTAGCGTGTTTTACTCAGGATGCCATTGTCACTGTCAACATTACACCTCGGCTAGCTGGGTTATATCAGAAATATAATTTCAGCGTTGCGTAAGAAAAAGTAATTTGGAATAGATGTGACGTTAGGTTGGCTAGTTAGTCCCCAACAGTTTCCCGTGTTCGTGGTTGTATTGCATCCAAAATTCAGTGTAACGTCGCCAAACAAAAGGACGTATAGTTACTGCTAGCTGTTATAAATCTCATTATGCATTTCTAAATCTGTTATTATTACCGATTATAAATGAAGGCCCGCGGTTGCTCAGTCGTAGCTGTCTGTTAAAATATTTTAAGTGTTTATTTTCGAAAGCTAACGTCTGCACATTTCCTGTGCCGTTAAAAACCGTTAAATTTTTTAACGTCGTGGTGCTTTAAAATATTTTAAATAGTGTTTATTAGTCCACATTAAGACGATAACCCATTACAGAGCCATCGGTAGGCCATTCATTCTGTACGCCCCCATTTCAGCTCAGCTACGGTGCTCATTTCCGTTATGTTGTTTCATGTATGTCCCGTTAACTTTGAGTCGGGCGTTGTCTGATCCTACAAAATATGGACAAAATAGGTTGTATATAGACATTCAGGCATACAATTTGAAAAGCGGGTGTAAAGTTTGCCTGGTTTTTGTTTTGGGGGTGGTGGTGGGGGGGAGGAAGCCACTACACCCAGAGAGAGAGAGAGAGAGAGAGAGAGAGAGAGAGAGAAATAGCAAGGTTTTTTGCAGTTTGATATCCCTTTGCGGCTCAATGAATGAAAAACCCACTGTGTGTGTAACTTGGCTGAGACTGTCTTGAAAAGCAGGAATGGGTTCAGGAATGTTGCACTTGCAGCTGAAGAGGAAAGGCTGTTTGTCCAGTCACATTACCCCCCAGTTTTACAAACACCACCTCAGCTGTTTAAACCCAATTTCAACTATTCAAATAATCCCCAACTGTCCACCATCATCAGCTTGTCCAGTTATTTTAAATTGACCCTCAAGCGGAATGTTTTCCTGTCAAAGCCTACGCCACATTGGAAAGCAACATTGTGTTATGTTAAGCCACATAATGGCTGGTTAGCTGAGGTTTAGCTGGTTTAGAGCTCTTGCTTTGCCATATAATCTAAATTCTTTGCTTTCCTGCACCTCATAATGTGGACGTAGGCTGCAGAAATGAGATTCACAGAGATGGAGATGCTCAGCGGCAGCCACCCGCCCCCACACACATTTAACAACAGTGCTTTTGCACCTTGGTGTTTTATGTCACTCTGATCCTGAGATAGATTGTGTACAAACAGTTTAAAAGGAGAGTGAATGGAAGTGCAGCCAGCCTCAAATAGGTAGTTTAAGTGAAACCACAGAAACACACTGTGCTGGGCGATATTAAATTGACCCTTTGGCTCCTATTTAGTCATTTGTGTAATGTTATAACAATGAGCTTTTAGATTATACATTTATTGTCAAAGCTCTTTGTTGTTTTAACAGTTATCTTGACATGAACAACCTTTCCATATATGTACATTGTGGTTTGAAACTGTCTCGACTGTGGGAACAAAGTTACAGCTCAGGAAACAGGAAGTGAGCTACTTTGCACCTGAAGTCAGTCTCAACGACAAACTTGATCAAATATGGAGGATAGTGTGGTAATTTGAGTGTTATTTTGTTAAATAATGTTATTTCTCCACAGGCCATTCATTACTGAGATGTAAATTGATGCACAGATGTAATTATAGTATCTTAGAGGGATAACATGGTCAGCGATTGATAGGTATGTGGCTGATGTTTTACGTCGATTTCCTTTATTTTTAGGGTGAAGGTGCTCGGGCTGTCCCTCTGGCAGGCCATGTCGGCTTTGACAGCATGCCTGACCAGCTGGTCAACAAGTCTGTCAACCACGGATTCTGCTTTAACATCCTCTGTGTTGGTGAGTCTGTCATGTGTGAAAATGCCCTTTCTCTCTCTCCTTAGGCTAAAAGATTACTTATTTGCTTCATTGAAAGTCAGGCTTTTCCACAAGATGCAAAGCATATTGCCCAGTATTTGACCTGCTCAGATTTGTTTAAGTAAGTCATTATTGGTTATCATGATGAGTAAGATGCTCTGGGTTTAGGGAGGAAATTCGGAAATGCCTGCAGATCGTAAATATGACATTATTCAGCAGCACTACTGTTAAAAACGTACAGAACAGAAGCCGTTTGCATGGGGACAGTGAGAAATGTTTGCCTGTACATTCGATTTTATATTGACAAAACAAGTCTCTTCAGCTTCATTAAGTGCTGGGCTCACTCGCATGCACTCAGTTGCCAGTTTATTAGGTGCACCCAGCTAAAACTAATGAAATCTAATACAACAGTCATGCAATAAACCTGGGCTTTATGAAGAAGAGGAAGTTCAGTTTGGGTTGAAGCTGTTTTAGAGAGGTGTTGATTCAACTTTATGGTCATTTTGAGGCCTAAAGTTTGTGGTGCTCTTTCATTGTATTGTGTTATACTTAGAGGCTGTTTCTAATATTTTTTCCTCTCTATTTGTCCAAAGGCGTGCTGGCTAGAACTTAAGATATTTGGCTTTTTGCTACATTGCATTACTGCCTGCTGTACAGAGTCAAACAATTCTTGCTATTGGGAATCATTTTGGGGACACAGTGGAAACATGTAACCAATTTGTTGGCAATTTTTTCTCTTTTTCTGCCTTTTGTCGGTTTTCTCCATCACATTTGCTAATTTTAGTATACACAGAGTGGACGGCTATGCCACACACACACACACACACACACACAAATGGGTTGTGCACACTGTTATGCAAACACTTTCAAGATCTGATATTTTGAACGTCAAATTTCTGATTGTGAAGAATTTTGTGTCTATATTTTTATAGATTTTCATTATATATGTTGTCCATTTTTAGTGGCATGGTTTAGACTTGCCTCCCAGCTGAAAACGTCTCTGCAATTTTGTGGAGTCCATTTGTATTTGTGTAGGAGTGAAAAGTGGAAAAGGCCAACAATTATGTGTTTTTCATAATTTGATTAATAATTTAAGTAATTTCATTGTTACTTTACACTGGTGCTATTACAACCAGAATTTCTCGAAACACTCTAGTCTATCATGAGTACAATCCATTGAAGAATAATAAAGCAAAGATGATACAGCAGACTTTAAGAGTAGACTGTAAGTGCTGTTGTGTGACTCACAAATACAGCATTTCACAGTAGTACAAGCATTACTTGAGGCAAAGACATGTGATCTTTGTTTTATGATCATTTGGTTTTGGTCTGAAATTCCAAAGAGGGAATCCAAAGTGTGGAGATAAATGGTTCCATTGGGCTAGAAGATGACTGGCATTTCTGCACAGGGTTTTTATTATTATGATTTCAGAGGGTTTGATTGCAGTCCTCTCCAGTTTGGCCCCCAGTTTCTTTAAACAATATGTCAAATTACCTTCAGCATGAGAGACTTCTCTATAGTGACTCTAATAGGGCTCTGAGACAGGAAATAGGACCCTTGATGCATCAGTTACTTTGGATTCTGAGGGAAAGATTGCAAATTTGGAACCTACATAGTGAGATATCCTACAAAAATAGGCTAGTATGCTTAGACTGTAGGTCAGGCTGTAATGAATAAAAATAGAATTTCTTACAGAGGGAGCTCTGTATCTGAGTCATCTGACAGCCTCTAACAGTACATGGATGTCAGAATATATCGGTGAACAAGCAGCTACTTCTGCTGTTTTGAAAATTACATATTTTCTTAGCATTTTCAAAACATCTGCACATACTCTTGATTTTCTTGTTCAGAGGTATAAAGCTTCAAATAATCGAATGTCTATTACTAGTTTGGAAGTATGCAGGGTAATTTAATAGGAAGTGAAGACAGTTTCGTGTAAAGGAAACCGCTTCATTGATTTAAACATTGTAATCAAAGAAGTACCCGCTGACTTAGGCAGAAGATCAAAGTTTTAAAAAACCCAATAACTTGAAGCATTTTTTCTGTGTTGTCAGGTGAGACGGGTCTGGGGAAGTCCACCCTTATGGACACATTGTTCAACACCAAGTTTGAGGGTGAGCCCACTCAGCACAACCAGCCGGGAGTCACACTCAAGTCCAACACCTATGAACTCCAGGAGAGTAACGTGCGCCTCAAACTCACTGTTGTCAACACCGTTGGCTTCGGGGACCAGATCAACAAAGAAGACAGGTAAAGCAGTCTGAATAACATCTTTGAGGGAGTGAAAGGGCTGATCTTTTTTTTTTCTCACTGATAGCGTCTGTCTTTGTGTCTTTGTGAACAATAGCTGAAATCCACACTTAGTTGTAAACACAAAATTTCTGACATATAATGAGTCTGTGAGAGCTCTGAGCCTTCTCAGAGGTCAGGTTTCATTCAGCCCCGATCCAACAAGGGTTAGGTTGTGGGATCAAGTCTCCTTCTCAAATAGTTTCCTCAGCAGTTTTAAAGGATCAACCATCGTAGAGAGAAATCAGATCTAGATGCTTTCCTTTCTGGCACAGCATTATGCTATAGACTACTGTCTGATTGTGTTTAATCAAACATAAGTGATTGTTACCAAGCTTGCCATCCACAATGTAATAGCTAACTCTGCTCCTGAGGTAATTCCAGGGCTGAGTAAGCTCTCTGTAATGAGAAGGATGTGGTTATTTCCAGGTTTTACACTTTATTCAGTATCAAATCGCCAATCATAGAGATAATAATATGGTCATACTGCATTTTACACAACCACATAATCAAAGTCATGTGAACCGCCACAGGCAGAATATTCTACAGTGTGTACAAAGCTGTGTCTCTCTTTGTGTCTGTTATTGTGTGTGCTGGAAACGGTGGATGCCTTTGAAACTTCCTGTAGTCCTCAACGCATGGTATCAAACATCTATGTTGTATGTCCATTTTCTATAGCATGCATCATTCTCAGGTTTGCGTGTTGTTTTGAAATAATTATACTAATAAATTTGATAGTTAGACCATCTCAAACGGTTGCAACCCTTAAAAGTGGATCCTCCTGAAGACTGAGATGGCACCTTCTCTGCCAATGAGACAGTTTATCATCACAGAGACCGAAACTGATGATTGATGCCATCAACTTAAGTCTAAATGTAACTGTTAACCAGGAAAACAACAACAACAAAGTGTAAATACCACGAGGAAGTTCCATGATATGTGATAGTGAATTTACAGTATGTACAGTCCAGTACATTTTACTGCAACATAGCAGAATAGCATGTTTATGGTGAAAATTATTAGTAACAGCATATCTGGGCTGCTATTAAAGAAATTACTTATGCCTCACTCATTTTTTACACCCTGCAGTGCGTTTTTTAGAAGTTTAGATCAAGCCATATTTTACTGATGAGAATGACCAATTGAACACACATACCCAGGAAAAACAATGTAACTTTATAATATTTCCCCAAATTCAGTAGATGAAGTGCACAATAGATTATGGGATACCTTGAATATGGAGTCTTTTTCCTGCAAATTCAAATTTGGTCTTTCAAGCCAGCATTTCTTGGCTACATGAGGAGGGACCTTTAAAGGACACAGTGTATCTGTATCCAATTGGTGTTGCTATAGTTTTCATATACTTCTATACTTAATATAGTCATTCTTTGCACAGATGACTCTAAAAACCCTGTGTATTGTTTTAGTAGCAGAACATGACATGTTCTAATAAACAGTTTATTAGGGAAAAAATGCTCAAATTTCTTGCATGTTTCTCCCTTTTTCTGACAGCTACAAGTCTATTGTGGAGTTCATTGATGCCCAGTTTGAAGCATATCTACAGGAGGAGCTTAAAATCAAACGCACGCTACACAGCTACCACGACACTCGCATCCATGCATGTCTGTACTTCATCGCTCCCACAGGACACTCACTCAAATCCCTGGACTTGGTGACCATGAAGAAACTTGACAGCAAGGTGAGCTTAATTTATCAAACTGTTATTGTCAGCCAGAAGCCATTTTATCTCATTTTATCTGTTTTTGTTTTGTTGACCTCGGGGATCATTTATTCAATTCTGGGTCTTTCCTATTAATTCCAGATCAATTCCAGACAGTTTTAGGGTTTAGCAATGGCTCTTATAATATAAAAACATCATACAGTTTATTTGCAGTTATGTAAGATTCACAAATTGAATAGCCATGGTGTCTGTATATTTATTTTTTAGTGAAACATGCAGTTGTACTGCAGGGGAATAAAGAATAACTGTTATTTAATCCCTATGAACATGGGATTTACTTACTTACTTGCAGCATTTGATCTATCTACTCTAGCCATGGGTCACAAACCTTTTCCAGGCCATCTGCATGCCTGCAAATTGTCTCTGGTCTGGTTACTGCGTCTGTGTAGGTCAGCTGTGAAATGCAGTCGGCTCAGTGACCGTTGCCTCGTTTTTGTGAGGTCCTCTCCACAGTAGCTTATTTGCATGGACCTCCTGGCTTTTGTACAAAGAGTTGGCTCAGTGTTTGCCAGAGCAGCTGAGCCCTCTGGCAAGCGCTCACAGCGGTGTCATCCAGACCAGAGCATGTTTACACATTCACCAAATTCAAACAGTGCTCTGCTGTAGTGTCCTTGAGCAAGATGTTGAATCTTCACCAGACTCAAGGGTGCAGTAGTAAGCAGTAAGTATTTCTTTTTTCACATGACCCTGAACATGCCTTCCTTTTACTTAAAGGGGCCTCCAGATGGAGAGCAAATAATTGGGATTGTGTAGGCGTCAGGGCACGGAGAAAATAGTTGTGTGGGAGTGAAAGACTCATATCCATCAGCCAGTTGTAACTGCATATATGAGAATGACCCGGACTGTTTCCCCCCTCCTTCATCTCTCTCCGTATTTCTTTTTTTTTTGTTTGGATAACATGAATAGCATAAATGTTGTAATGAATTGAGTCTGACTGTTAACACCATGTTTGGAGAGCTTTTAAGTGATCTAGAGCAAGAGAATGAAGCCTCCTGCTCCCTTTTTGCTGCATTTACTATTTATATCTCCGTGCCTAAGAATGTGTAATTGTCTGCAATACACAAAGGCCTGTTTTGAAGAGGTCTTGGACTGTGATGTGTTGAAATGATGAAGACGGAGCAGGTTTCTCCTTCCCTTTTCTTTTAACAAATTGCATTTTAAATTACTACAAGGTTGGCCACCAGTGATTGGAAGGGGTAAAAAAAAACAACCTATAAGTGTATTTTATTCTGTCACTAAACCTGATTAGTGTGTAGTGTGTGCATTTAGTTGGCACCACTACTTCTAAAAGACCAGAATTATTTGATTTATAACGTGTTTAACCTTTTGGTTCTTATTAAAAATACATCAACTCTTTTTCCAAATTCGGAATACACAAATGGCAGTGGGGAAAAGTTGCCACTGACAGACAAGCTAGAAGCTGCTTTATATTTAGCTCCATATCTAAATGCGTTATCTGCACCTTGTCATTGTGTCAGCCCACATTAACTCTCCTCGTTTCTCAACTGCAGGTCAATATTATTCCAATCATTGCCAAGTCAGACGCCATCTCCAAGAGCGAGCTGGCCAAGTTCAAAATCAAAATCACGAGTGAGCTGGTGAGCAACGGAGTGCAGATCTACCAGTTCCCCACTGATGATGAGTCTGTGGCAGAGATCAACTCCACCATGAATGTAAGGCTCACAACTGGCTCTCTATCTACATCACATGCTTGTGCACAGAATGCATTACTTAGTTCATATTAGAGTTGAAGTGTAAGGTTATTTTGGTCTGACTGAATCCTAAGAAAATACGATAGTTTATGTACTCCATGTCTCGTCTCTAAGTTTCGATAACGCTGTTATGCGTTACCGGCATAAACAACATGTGATGTAGAATCAGGACAGGCATCATCTGTCTGCTCAGGCTGTCAGGAAGCCGCCCCATGCAGGGAGGAGGAGCGTGTTCAGAGCAGCACAATCAGCTAGCTCACTCTGCAGGAAGCCTGCAGTGTGGGAAAGGGCCCGCGTTCACTGACAGATGAACCGTGCTCACTTAGCTGTTTACTCGATCTGATCTGTGAAAATTCTTTAACTCTCCCTAGCTGATTGTGTTAGATCGTTGCATCTCGGCTGTCGTTGTACAGTCTGACCACAACTCTGTTCTGAAAAAAGGTCATACATCCTCCTGTCGGAGCTGTCTCTTGATGTCTGTGTGCGGTTAATACTGCTTAGGAATGTTTGCTAAACTGTGTGTGGGTTTGGTCCAGATACCTCCTGTATGAATTAAACGGTTACATTCATTTTTGAGTAATAAATTGTGATACATGGTGGTTTGTTGCAAGAATTTGAGGAGAATCTGCAGAGCTCTCGGTTGTATTCGGTGTGTGGCAGTATACCAACATTGCCTTTCCCTCTGCTCCACAGAGCCATTTGCCATTCGCTGTGGTGGGGAGCACAGAGGAAGTAAAGATCGGGAACAAGATGGTGAAGGCCCGGCAGTACCCCTGGGGAACGGTGCAGGGTAAGCCTAGGTCACATCCTGCACAGGAAATGAGAGTGTGCTCCCTCTCGTCAGAGCTGCTACACCTACTCCCTCCCCTCATATTGCTCCTCGGCTCTTAACAGCTGCTCCAAACTAGTTGATAACCAGTTATATAACCTCATTTAGCTGCAGCACCCTCTCTGCCATTATATGGTTGTGAGAGCTGCCGCAGGTCTTAGCTCTTACAGGTTTGGACATTTGATGTCACTGATGATGTTGATTTGTTATTGACCGACTCGACCAATCCATAATGGAGTGTGTGTAATTATTGCAAAAAGATAGCAGTCACAATACGTCTATTAGCTCATATAACATCATCATCCTACTGTACAGCTTTAAACTGTATTATTGTGAAGTGTGTGTGTGGGTGTAAGGGTGGTTTGCCAGGACTAGGCCTGTTCAGCACTCAGTTTAGATGCAGTGCTGTCCATAAGGATGTGGACAGTTTTGAGTTGGTTTTGTATAGGGCTGCAACCTTCAATTATGACATCTTCATATATCTTTGTTTTGTCTGACCAGAAATCCAAAACTCCAAGATATTCAGTTCATATGATGATATAAAACACAAAAAAACAGAAAGTCCTCTGTGCAAAAGCTACAGCCACAGAATGGTTTGCATTTTTGTTTGATAAACTGTAATGATACAGTCATTATCAGAATAGTTGCTGATTAAATTGGTAATTTGCATTCATTGTAGGCTTTACATCGACATCCACATCCAACGAACCATGTAGAAATTGGACCCCTTTTTATACATAACCCCTGAGGAAAAATAGTCCTACAGTTTCTGCACTGTTTACCCAACATGGATATGAACACCCTCAAACATCCCTAAAGCTAAAGTTAAAGTCAGCACTTTAACCTCACAGTCCTGGTTTCATTTGAAATTCAATGTGCTGGATTAAGGCCAAAACAATGAAAAACATATCACTGCCCTAATGCTTCCGGACTGCGCTGTATAATGTTTCTGGCTCGAAGCTTTACCCAACATCGGGTCTGTTTACCACACACAGCATGTGTACTCACATGATGTCACATGGTCTGTTGGAGTGTGATGCTTAGTTCAATCCAGTAACAAAATCAATTGTCAAGCCACAGGACATGAACACTATTCTGTTTTGAACTTGCACTGTTGGTAGGACTGAGTCTGTGAAATACTCTCGCTAGTTATAAAATGTGTTTATTTGCTGGATTTTATGTAAACATTAAATGATTCAGATGTTATCTGTTCCTGCTACTGTACACTTACTGCAGATTACATAATCCATTATGAATAGTGTGCCATCTGATGTGTTGGGTAAAACATTCATGTGTCACTATGATGTGTCTCTCACAGTGGAAAATGAGAATCACTGTGACTTTGTCAAACTGCGAGAAATGCTGATCAGAGTGAACATGGAGGACCTGCGAGAGCAGACTCACACACGTCATTATGAGCTCTACCGCCGCTGCAAACTGGAGGAGATGGGCTTTAAGGACACAGACCCTGACAGCAAGCCCTTCAGGTAGTGGACTCGAGGCTGCTCTCATACAGCTGGACTTTTTATCTTTTAGCTCTTGCTTTCTAGTCTGCTCTCAATTTCATGTAGCATTTTTCCATTTATCACTGGAATGTTTTATTAGACCAGTTCGTGTCTGCATCTGGTGTGTTCTCCATTGCAGTGGCCAGTGTAATGTTTCTACTAGTAATTTTTATCCCCTTGCATTTTTGCTCGGCCAGTCTTCAGGAGACATATGAAGCTAAGAGGAATGAGTTCATGGGTGAGCTGCAGAAGAAAGAAGAAGAAATGAGGCAAATGTTCGTCCAAAGAGTCAAAGAGAAGGAGGCTGAGCTCAAAGAGGCAGAGAAAGAGGTATCAGCATTAAACTGAGACCCTACACCATCCTGAAATATCATGTGCCTCAATAATCTTTGTTTAAAGTTTCCACTCTTGTCTTAAATAACACAAAGCATTGTTTTGCTTTGTCCACCACATAGTTGCACGAGAAGTTTGACCGTTTGAAGAAGCTTCACCAGGATGAGAAAAAGAAAGTGGAGGAGAAGAAGAAGTCTCTGGACGACGAGCTCAACATGTTCAAACAGAAAAAGACTGCTGCAGAGCTCTTGCAGAACCAAGCCCAGCAGGCAGGGGGCTCCACCACACTCAAGAGGGACAAAGAGAGGAAAAAGTAAGTATTGTTCTCTTCCTCCAGTGCCTTCCTTATATCTATCCTTACATCTTAGGTGCAGGAGACCACCACCAGTTGTATAAGACTTGGAAAAGTCTGGATGCTATGAACCTGGGATGAACAAGGCCACATATTATGACACTGCCAATCCAGGATGTTGATCATTTGCCAAATTAATTTCTAGGCTCTGTTCAGAGAATTGCCTTCAAGATGTCTGTGTTACATCAGTATATGAATACAATTGCCAATATATGAAATTTTTTGTGTCCTTTTGTTATGCATTTGAGAAACATGTATATAACAATAATATATCGCTGTGTCCCGACAACAATTCTACTGCACATTATCTTAACATTCATTCTACTTAGTGCACATGTGCTGCAGACAGAACTTAATTATGGTCTGTCCTATTAATATTATCAAAAGCTTAGCAGTTTCTCTGTCACCACTCATTAATAATCCACCTGATATTGGTATAATTGAATGCTAAGCCTAAGAACTCTCTCAGACTCTCACTCAGCTCTTTATTTCTGAGAGACGGATGAATCCGATGAATGTTTACCCTCCATATAATGACAGAATATGTTGAGAGCTGACCAGAATTCATAATTTATCACTAATGTGGAAAAATAAGAGGAGAAGAGAGGGGGAGAGACTGCAAATGACTAGCTGTCCTCATTGAAATAGTTGAAAAGTTGCCAACTGTCAGCATAGTCTGATGAGTGAATTACAGTCAGAAATAATCACACTGCATGTCTCAAGCAAAACAGATCGGGAAATTATATACAGATTTGTGCAAATAACTTTATTGCAACTCGGTTAACAATTCATGGACAGTTCCATTAACTTGAAAGTTTTATAGTATTCACATAAAACTCATCTGGTTTTAATGAATCTACAGGATTAGTTTCATGCTGTGCTTTTCTTTTTCTTGACATATCTGAAATTAATTCTGTTGTCCCCTCCGACAGTTTATATCAATAGTTTCATTAAATCATGCGCGTATGAGACTGTTCTCCACAACGTGTTTCGGGCTTCGAGGCAGTGTTTGAAGCCAGATGTGTTCAAGTATGGTTGTAGTGTGCTATTGATAATGTTGGTCCTTTCATGTTGGTAATCAACTCCTGGTTTTGTGTTGAAGCTGATGTGACGCCGTGCCTGTTAGAAAAGGAAGAAGACACTTGCACTGAGAAGGTTCTCGTTGCTTTTTTCCCCTCCCCATTAATTTCTTTTCTTCACAGCCACTTCTTCTCTTTATGAGCTCTGCCTGGAAAATGTCTCTTCCAGCTGTGTCACTTTAGCTTTGTCTGTGGGTCACTGATTAAAACTGACTAGAGAGGTCTTGCACTTAAAGCGTTAACAAGGATAATAATCATGTTTTATCTGTATTTAACCTTCAGGATTAAGTCAGTGTTTTCTTCAGTTCCCAGAAGACACAGTTATTGATTAATGCTTGTTGTGTTGATGTGAATCTGTCCTGTGAGTGCATGTGTCACCTATGTTGCATCCATAATGTTTTCCAGTTAACTCCTCCCACACTTGCTGCATGCTGCATGAGGCTCCTTTTCTGGTAAGACTCCCCTCTTGAGTTACACCAACAATAATCTAAAAATATGAAATATATGAAGGGGGCTTCATTGATTGTCTTGACCAGCTTTTAATTTATTTATTGTACACAAATTAAATGCAAATTAGGAATAAATTATCACCCAAATTAGAATTTAGGAAAATATTATGAGAAAGAAGAAACTGGATTAATGGTCCTAAAACTTTACTGGACTGAAAATGGGCAACGTTTCTACACTGCCGAGTGTTTGAAGATTTAATCCATTCTGCGGATACTCTTCATTTTTTCCTTCATTGAATCTGACATCCTGCACCTGCCCTAAATATAGAACTGGCTGCGTACACAACTCTCTTTCTGCATCTCCACATTAGACTTTAAACATAATCAAATTAACTTTTGAAAGCTGTTGTCAATTTCCTCTTTAAAGTAATTTGAATGGATACAGTAACTCAGATATGTGAGCGTTGCGGGCCTGCAGTATGACATTGGTAGCATCTGTGTCGATCATATCCTTGAGCTGGCAGTGTTTACCGTTCTTGTGCCAGCTACTAAATCAACCAGTTTATTAGATCCCCACACGCCCATTTGATGTACTGCCCCATCTGCCTCCCTGAATCCACAACAGTCTCCTTTATTGTGGCTCTCCCAAGTCTTTCCCCCACATGGCCCTGCAATAGCACAAAGAGCCATTCAAGGCTGAACTGAGACTAACAGGTCACGCCAGAGCAGCAAACAGCCTCAGGGTCCATCTCTGTTTACAGTGATGACATGTTTTGTTGATCTCGCAGCCATATGACGACCCCCACTGCAACCCCTCCCTCTTGAGTGGATACAAAAGCCAAATCCACAGAGAAAGATGCTGTTGAGACTCAACTGCTGGGGAGGGTAGAAGTGAACGAAGACATCTGTCTCGCAATCTGTAAACTCCTCAAGCAGCTCAGGACTGCTAATGGGGATGAAAATAAGCTGCTGTTTGATGAGCAACGAGGATGACAATCAGTCGCATTGTTTTAGGTTAGGGGTGGGGCGAAACCTCTAAAAAGAATTTAAAGTGAACGACTGCACTTGCACCCCAACCTCTGTACACTCAAACCTTCTGAGTTGCCTTAAGAGCATGATCTCCTCTAAATGCCACATGGTCACTAATGTTGATGTGATGTCACTGATGTGTCGTGATGATGTTTTAACTCAAAAGAAAGCAATAACAGCCCTTCTCTCTCATTTCCAGCTTAGGATTCCTGTAGAAAAAGTGCTCCCTTGTGGCCATCCTGCTGTGAATGAGTTTCCACCCCATCATCCTTTACAGTACCCCTTCCCCACCCTCACCCTCACCCCATAATTCAACCCTCCACATGCCCTCCCCGCTCTCTGGAAGACGCTGGGTATTGCTAGCAGTTTGACATGACTTTTTCTTTTTGCTGAATGATGCTTGTCCTTTATGTGGTTTGTACAAGCAATTATTCAGCTTGTCTTTTTATACACATTTACCAAAAAAAAATGCATTCCATATTTGTTTTGTATTCTGTGGTTCTTTGCATGATGAAGTGAGCTTTTTAAATATTAACATACATGACTACTGTTGTGATGGGCAGAAATGTATTGAAGCTCAAGTGAAACATGCATCAGACTTTGGGCCCTGAGTATGTTTGTGTGGTCAGTTGTATCAAACTGATCCATTTTCAGATTAAAGCAGTTTCTAAGAATTCCTACTTACCTTGAGATTGTCAACAACAACAACAACAACCAACATACTTGTTATTAATTAGTCATTGGCTTTCGGGAAGAGCTACTTTGTTGTTAGTGTAAAGTTATAATCATTAATATTTCAGTCCTGGTTGATTTGGCAACGCCAGTGGCTGCCATGGTAACAGCCAGTGCAGTTTAATACTACAGCAAACACTCCTTGACTACTTTGTCAGAAACAACAAAAGAGTAACTGGTGTGTCTGTTTACAGCCAAGCTAAACAACCTCAGATTAGCCTTTTTCCATCATCCCATAGTCAAACACAGTCTGAATTCATGCTGCCCCTGGCAATATTTTAAACTAAACAATCATTTTTAGCACTATACGTGGTGAATACATTGCGTTTCCTGTGACTTCTTTACAATAAAAGTCACCCCGTGTTCACAGTTGAATGCTTTTAATTTAAAGCGGCAGCAGTGGTCAAATAGAAGTAGCAGTAACTTCATATAGCTGTGATACAGGCTGTAGGAGTGTGAACACTGAGGCTACAAGTGGATTACAAGCATCATTTGTTCATAAATAGGTGTAATGAACCCACCTCAGGAATGGCAGACTCTGCCACTAACAATGAAAACAATATTATATACAGGGATAAATACAGAATGTAAATACATTGAATGTCTATTACAGAAGAATGTAGAACATCAATATAACCAAAAAGAGGATCTGATTTAAATAAAATCTTGAGGAATATAACTTTAAAGCTTCCACTCATTAGTACCTCAGCCATAAATACTAGATTTAATGTGTTTTGCTGTTTATGTCCCTTTGCTGATGCTGTTTCACTTTAACCTGATGCATGAGTAGTTGTGAGCCTAATCTCTTTACCACTTCTCCCATACCTCATTCATTGTCATGTGTTAGTGCATACTTGTCTTAGCTTTCACATTTGCACTTTTTTTGTACACAAATGTGATTTTTCTTTTTTTAAATATATGTTGTCAGTGCAATTGTAACTTTCTTTTTTATTTCACTTCCTATGAAGGCACATTTTAAAGTCAATCATTATGTCCTGTGTCCTGCAGGGACCAGTGTTGTTTGTATCAGTGTTACACATAAAAGACACATTATATCAAAAGAAAATAAAGGCCAATTTTTCACCAAATATTACAACTGTGGCCATAATCATTGTGTATCACAAGTATTACTGTAAATTGGGATTTTAATCACCTCAAATGGGGAAAGTGTGGATACTTGATTTACATGAAGTGCGTTAGATTTAAATAGTTGTTAATTATTATTGTTAATTACTTTCAAAATCGGTTTAAAACCTTTGTGCTCAGAATCACGAGGCATCTGTTGACCTCAGTTGTTCCTTGTTTTTTCACCACTTGGAGGTTCAAGGTTGCTTTTATTGTCTTATAAAAGATACATTTGTCCTGAGTTGAAGACATTGCTGCATAAAAATGCTCTGATTGCACGTGATGCCAGGCTCAAAATACATCAAGAGAAGAGTCATTCCCTCGTCCTAATCCTCCGCTCACTGGTCTGTGTGGTTTCACTTTCCTTTGCAGTAATCCCTGGCTCTGCACTGAGTAGGTCCTCAGCCCTCAAGCTTTGCTAAGGGACCAGCCTTTGTGGGTACAGAGTACCTCAAATGTGACCAGAGGCTTTGTGGACCCCATCCTTCAGGGTTTCTTAATCATTACCTGCTCTGCTATAATATTGATTAATGTGTATTTGTGTTTCACTGCAGCTCTAACCTCACCGTCTGCGATCTAATTCTTGCTTTATTGCCTCTGCTTATGTTTTTATGTGTACTGTTGTTTTTTTGCTGTGACTAACATTTTTTCCACGTCAGTTGTGATGTAGATTACATTCTCACTTGTTCGTTTGAATATTATTCACATTCACAAGACAATTAGGTGGAATTATAACTATATAATTTATAATTTATCAGTGGGCACAATATAATCATGATTTTTTTTGCTTGGACAACTCTGACCCCAGGGATTTCACCACCTAACTTTGTATTTATGATCTTCCTGATATCAGATGCACTTTTCAATCTCAAGCCTGACTCGTGTTTTTGTAATCGTTTCTGCTTTGCCACCTCTCTAACTGCCGGCTTTCTTTCTCTTTGTCTCTTTAGCTTCTTTTAATCTGTCTTGACCACCTGAAGAGGGGATTGCAGCTTCAGCAAGAACTAAGCACCCTTTACCTCTTCCTGTTTTTCTCGCTGTATGAACCTTTTTTATTCTCCCCATTGCATCTCCTTTTGTTGAATATGGCCTTATGTGGACTGGCATGGTATTTCTGACCACCTAATGAAGCTCTAAACCCAGTCAGGTTGGGGGGGGGGCCGGGTACAGTTTAAATCTGCTATTATGTCTTAATGTATATAAAGAGACTCTTGTCGTTAATAGAAGTCATCGGTTGGGGTTCATACCTTTACAGGACTCGTAGGTTAAATCATTATTTGATCTTTACTTGAAACAGAATAGCAATGACCTGCGCTATGCACTCATCCTTTCAATATGATTCTTAATACAAAGCTAAAAAGAATAAAACGCTTGCTGATTTAAAAACAAACTCATCAAGGACAGAAGCACTTAATGCACTATGTGTAATGTGTTATGAAGTATAATGAGTAGTCATGTTGTTTTCTTCAACCTAGTTCAGTTTAAAAATCTGCCGCTTCCAAATGAAATGGCAAAATTAAATTAGAGGTTATAATCATGCAAAAGCCAAAGCAATATTTTATATTTAGCACTTCATTTGATGGAGCCCATGTTTACATGTCACTGTTGAATACCATGGAGGTCACATGTAATGGCCTTTTATTATTACACACTGTGCTTTAATATTCACCGGCCTATTCTATATTTTGCATGCATCTTTTTATTTCATTACTGCTGTGATCTTTGACCTTTTGACCTGCTTGTTTTTATCCCCCAATAACTCAGTTTTACAGTCTATTTGAACTTCATTGCTGTTTTCTTCAAATGGTGCATATTATTAATGTATATTTGCTCTGTCCTATGATTTCAGCTCCCCTTTTGCCAAATATTAGTATAAAGTGGAGTTGAACTGAATCCCAAGATAGGAGTATTAAAAATACTCATGCATTTATATAATTTATAAGGATATATTTTGTGTATTGAAGTGGAGACTTGTTGTTTATTACCTATGATCTTTGGACGTGAATCTGAGTGTAAAGTAACATTTTGGTGTCAGAAAATGCCATACATTTTTCTAGTATCAGTCATCACCTCTTGTAGTCAAAAACTCTCCCACACCACAAATTATTCAGTATCTTACTTTAGTTTGATTCCATTGATGTACATTTTCAATAAAAAAATATGATCCAAACATATTAAGTCTTTGCCTTTTATTTACAGTGCAGGATGCTCATAGTTACCTTTAATAATTTTAATTATTGTAGTTTTATGGGCTGTGAAACTCAACATTGAGCTGACCTGTAATCAGCACTGTCTGTATAATGAGTATTAAATCTGTGAGACACCTTAATGTTCACAAGTCAGTAGTTCCTGTATTGTGAAGTATTTATTGTGTATGTGTTTGAACTTTATTCAATCAGGATGTCCCTTGAAATAAATTATTTCCTGTCCAAAATGGCAGCACAGAGTCAGAACACACAGTCACATAAAAACTCATAATTCATTTACAGCAATAACACAATAAAACAGGACCTGAGGGGCATAAAGAGTGAAACTTATCTTGTATATTATTAAGCCTGGGGTACATAGTACAAAATGTAATGCAATAAAAAAACAACTGTCTGATATAATATAGGACTTATTGTTCTACATGATGGAGACAGCACGGGACTAAACTTGTATTTGACAGTTTCAGTTACTATTACTTTGCTCGTCCACACAGATGTTGTCTGTCATACTGACTGATTAGACCTCTAATCAGGTTAACGTTGGGTGGAACGAGGCTAAAAATGACATGATTTCACCAAACTGCTATGACCTAATAAGAATGATAACATGGTAAGCTGTCCCGCCAACAGATACAACAACAGCGACAGAAGGATGAGGTCTCTGAAGAGCACACACCCACACTGTCTTTGGAAGAGGTCTAATTAGGCAGTGTAAGTTTTAAAAAAATCAGGGGCTTTAAGATTTCTACATGAAAAACGTATGATAACTTTATAAAATATTATGTGTTATTACTATTATGCATTACAGTTGATTCAGTTATTGATGAAACCACTAAGTTTTCAACAACATTAAAATGCTGCTACTAATATAATAAATCTGTGTGTGTGTGTGTAATACTTTTACTCAAGTAATATTGTAAACACACAACTTTTATTTGAAACAGACTACTTTTACACTGTGGTACCTATACATCACTATGTTTTAGGGGAACTCTGCAGTGAACCTGAGATTAACATGTTGTTAACATGTAACTGTATCTCAACACTCAGGGGATAACAGCTCCGATAGGGACCCCTGGCAGCTTGCCACTGCGGCGACCCCTGCCGAAGCGCTGTGCAGCCCCCAACAACATATTGAAAGTACAACTCAAAGTACCATCTGATGGCCCACCAACAAAGCCAGTCAACCCCTTCTGGGCAGCTCTCCAGCAGGGAATCTGCACTTATCTGGAACAGCCTCTGTGCTTTAGTGCTAGAGATTGCAGCTGGCAGCAGACATTTTCATGCTCTGTGGGCGTCATTCCCCACAGGTGAACCTGTACAAGTACAGTTTAATTCACACTGTCTATTATTATGAATGATCATATAAAGTTCACATGACATACAGCAATCCACACAATACAGCCTGTGTTACAATTTACTTTAGTGCAGTCTAAATAATATTCATAATTGTGGGGGTGATATTGGTAAGTGGTGAAACTCTAAAAAGACCCTGTTGAGCACACTGTGTAAAATCTGTGTGTTTAGTGTCAAAGATGTGACCAGAGCAGGTAAAAAAATAACTGTTTCTGCTTCCCTCTTTGAATGTGTGCTCTCAATTAATATGGGTGTCAGTGCAGCAGTTGGTTGGTTTGGCTCCTGTCCCACGGAGGCTACTTCAGCCAAAAGAGTAACAAACCAAACACTGGCCTTTTGTGGGGTTTTTTTGTGAGTTTCGCCGCCATCGTAGTTTCTCCTACACACTTCACAGCACGTTCTCATTCCCAGGTTGTCAAATATGAAGTTCAGTTAATTGCAATCTGAAACTTTACCACTAGAGGCCACTAAATCCTGCACACTGGTCCTTAAATCTCAATTACACATATAAATAATTGGTTGGAATAAGCCCCAAATAAAGGCTCACTAGTGAAGTACTGAACAGAAATATCTAAAGGTGGCAATAGAATTTAATAGTTATATATTTCCCAATCTTCAGACATTTTTCCAAACATCTCTTGTAACTGAACTAAAGCCTATCACAAAGTGTAACATTTGGCCATACCAGATTATTAAATTAATTTCAGTTTTTTTTTAACATTTAATCCAAATTAATATAATAAAATTGACTTCAAACTGGGGTGGCAGCTGGCGTGGACAGGTATTTTGCCCCTCTAGATCCGCCCCTGGTCTGAATGGAGTTTCTGTGTGAATGTATGAATGAGTGGGAAGAGGCTGAAAATAATAATAATTGACTTTCATTTTAACTAAACTTCAAATAAAGTTGAATATAACCCAAAATGTGTAAAAAAAAAAAAAAAAAAAAAGGGTTGACACATAAAAGTTTCTAGCTGAAAGTATGAATGAGAAGTTACAAACAGACGTTCATTATTTTAAATGAAAACTTGAGATGTTTTGGTAAAAGTTGTGAATGAGAAACTCAGCATTGCTAACTGACCTGAACATGTTGATGTGTGAATGAAGTTTCTGTGTTTAAATAGTAACTTAAGTGATGAAAATAATAATAAATGTTTTAGAACATATTTCTTGTGAATGACCTGAACTGTGCACCGGCGGCAAAGCATTGTGGGTCAGTGCGGTGTCAGACGCCATGATTTTACTGTAGCTGGAGCAGAAAATGGATGCTTCCTGCTAGTTAGTTCAATGGGTGTCTGTAGCCCGTACCAGGTTTTTGCGCAACGTTTTCAACCAGCGGTCTCGGAAACATCACTCAAGGGATAAAAACAACCTACATGTCGGTTTCCTCTGAGTCTGATATAAAACTATATGAGCAGGCTGCTGTGGGGGAGCTGGGGGAGCTAGCTGGCTAATGTTAGCAGTCACCACCGGGTTGCCAGCGTTAGTTAGCTGGCTGGCTAGCTAAAAAGAAGCTAGCACGATAATAATAACCGACTGGTCAAAAATAAATGCTCCCTCTCTCGCTCAGCTGAAGGACGTAAGTCGGACCAAAGGCTACACCTTAAGGTGAGGATGTGAGACAACTATCCGTGCACTTAAATGTTGATAAATGTAATGTTTAGCTTCTTAAACATGTTTGCTTGTGAGAGATGAACCCTGTCGGCCTACTGCGTCACTCTGTGAAAGGCCTGGTGCTGGGTGCTACATGCAGCTGATGTATCCCCTCTGTCACAGCCATTATGTGTGTAATAGTGTAATACAATGTTTTGTCCTGGCACATGGTTTGTATTTCAGTCGCTGCATGCTGCTAGCAGGTGCTGTTTGTATTTGTGGAGCCTCTAATAAAGGCAGCATGGAGTATTAACTCATGTCGGGATGTTGTGTTTGTATATTTAATCCTTTTTTTTTTTTTTATTTACATCCTTTGGCCTTGATAACAGGTATGGCCTGGATTTGATTTGGACGGTGCTGGTGATGGCAGAAGGGACTTGCATTGGCGAAATGCCCTCCTTTGACCCAAGTCCTAGTTCTGAAGCAAAAAAGAGACCTACTTCTTCTGATGGCAGTGAGTCTTGATCTGGGTTGTGTTTAAAACTTTCTTGAGATATAAAACACCAAAAGAACATCTCCATGTTGTTATGTACTGTTTGTGTTTCACCGTTACATATATATGTGTCATATATCCAAATATAACATATTTTTTATCATATTTGTAGAACTTCTCTTAGACACTGCAAAGTCGAGTGATTGAGCAAAACCCCAAAATGTTGACGCAATCCAGACATATTAAATGTGAAGGTTAGAAGCAGCATCAACAAGAGTCAGATGTCGGTTTGAGGGTGTCACGTTGCAGCAATATTGCAGCTCTCTCCAATGTCAAAGAATAATGCTGGCACTATTCTTTATTTTTATTATTGACGTCAAATCTCATCAAAAGACCAAAATACAGTGTGATTTTCTGTCTTTTAATTCTTTCCAACTTCTCCAGCTTACTCTGGGATTATAGTGAAGTACTGTAGTGCAGCAGAGAGTCCCTGACTTACAAATCTTGTTCTCCAGATGTCTGAAAACAACACAACAAATGTGATAGCATGATGATTTTAATAGTTTTTAAGATTGTGATGCAAGAATGATCATTCTCACTAATTCAGGAATCATATTGCATATTTGGTGGACCACTGAGCAGGAGAGTGTATGTGGGATTGACTCAGAATAAACTACAGATGGAGATGGGTGTTTATTGTCATGAAGGACAATTACCCAGTGCAGCCATGTGGCCCTTACCCATTTATGTGTTGTGTTATTATTTCTAGCTATTTTTGGACAGCAATGTATCTCTGTGGCGCAGAGCAATAAGTGATATCAGCCTTTTGCTTCACAGACAATACTTTTTAATGGGATTTCTTGACAGTAAGAAAAATACAAACTATCATTAGACTTATAACTCTGTAAATGTATCTACTTCAGACACTGGATCATTAAGTCATAACAAGACATCCTGTTTTAAAAAATGAATGAAATCACACTTTTAGACCAGTTTCAAGGGACCTTTATCACATTAACCCTGTTTTGCCTTCTGAGTTGATAATTGATTAATCTGTAAGTGTCCACATTTAAATCCTGTTGGGTTTTCTAACTGTTTGCCTGTGTCATGTTATTGCAGGAGACGAGCCAATGAGGAAAATGCCTGTGTCAAAATTTGGTTCCAGACCTCGATTTGAGCCTGTACACTTTGTGAGCGGTGGAAGCAGCGGAGGAAGCGGGGCTGATGAGAAGGAGAACGATAAGGAGCGACGGAGGAGCGAGTCGTATGGTACGAGACAGTGGGACTCTGAACACTTCTCTCACAGCAGCAGCAGCAGCAGAGCGCAGGGCTCCTCCTCCCTGAGGCCTGCTTTTGACAGAGTGCCATCGTACAGTTCTGACTCTTGGGGTTCCCATAGAGATAGAGAGCGAGATAGAGATCGGGAGATTTTTTCAGGTAGTACGAGTGGTTTGGGTTATGGAGGACGCGGGTCCACTTCAAACTTCATGGCAAAAACACAGCAGGACTACATAAACAAGTACGAAGCCCACGGCTCTCGAAATTCAGATTCCTATTCTCAGCCCCACAGATACAATGGACACTGGGGAGGGAGCAGATCAGGAGGCTGGGATTCTGGACGTCAGGGTTTGGGGTTCAGTCATCAGGATCGGCCATCATCAAGTAGGCCTTTCTGCAGAGTCTACAACAGTCCAGGCAGGAGCAGTCCCACCACTTCTCTGTCGGGCTCCTCAGCGCAGCCTCTAGCTGTGTCTCAGTCAACATTAGACGAGAAGCAACGGTTGATCGCCAATGTAGAGTCTGCGTTGGCTGTTGCCTTTAGGGACCCTATGTTCATGACTGGAAGTGATTCGCCAAACTATAATTTCATGTTGAGCCGCAGCATTCAGGCCTGCAAGACTAATCCTGAGTATATTTATGTCAACCTGAAGGATATTCCTCAGGCTGACCTACCAAAGAACAGGAAAGTACCAACAGACGGTTATGCCTGTGAACTGAGATGTCAGGGTGTCTATCTTGCTACTGGATACTCTGGGAGTAAAAACGGAGCGAGGGACCGGGCATCTGAGCAGGCTGTGAAACTCTTCCTGAAACCAGTTGAGGTTCGCGTGGTGCAGCGCAAATACAGACACTCAATAGTCAATGACATAGTTGTGTGCCAGATGCACAGCCCGACCCCGGCCTTTTTACCTGCACTCCGCAACCCAGAGGATAAACCGACACCCAGCTCTAAGGGCCAATATGAGCCTGACACACGGAAGCACTGGACAGAATTTGTGGTGATGGACAATGCTCACGACGCCATCTGCATACTCAACAATTCTGCGGCTTTTAATCGTATGAAGATAGACTATAAGTTCGACCTGCTCCCCAACAGCAGCGCTTGGCTGTGCAGCGTTTTCCTGCAGGACGAGCTGGTGGCGCAGGCAACGGGCACTAAAAAGAGCTCAAAGCACGCAGCGGCCGAAGAGGCAGTGAGAAAACTTCGCATGAACCAGGCACAGCGACAACAACAGCAGCAGCAGCAGCAGCAGCAACAGCAACTGCAGCAGCAGCATCAGCAGCAGCAGCAGCAGCAACAGTCACAATACTCCCGAGGAAACAATCAGTCGGATTGTGGTGGACGCTTTGGGCAACAGGTCGGCAAAAAGAAGCATCTGAGTGAGCTGGTTATCCTGGAAAACTCTGACAACGCAATCTGTATCATCAATGACACAGCTCAGTTTAATAAAGTGACTGCTGACTACAAGTTCACAGTTCTACCTGATCACCGCTGGAGGTGTGAAGTTTACTTGGAAGGACAGTTCGTGGCAGCAGGAATTGGGCCCAAGAAAATAGTGAAGCACATTGCAGCAAAGGAGGCCTTAGCCACCTTGAGACAAACGCAGGCCGTGGTTAAATCCAACCTAAGGAAGGAGGGTCACAGCGACGCCATATCCCGATCCCAGATCCTGGCCCGCTCTGGTGAAGAGGCCACAAGGCAGGAGATCAAGGAAGACAACATCGGAAACCAGCTGCTCCGCAAGATGGGCTGGAAGGGGGGTGGCCTGGGCCGAGATGGGGAAGGCATCGCAGAACCAATCAGAGTGAAGGAGCAGTTCTCCAGAGAGGGTTTGGGTATGGACACGGACAAAACTGGAAACCAGCTCAGCAAGCGTGACATCGAGGACATCATTCGCAACTATGCCAGTTCAGACCGCCAGGACGATCTCCGGTTCTCCACTGACCTCACCAACGACGAGCGCAAGCAGATCCATCAGATATCTCAGAAATACGGCCTACGAAGCAAGTCGTACGGACAGGGACGGCAACGGTTTCTAGTTGTCAGTCGCAAAGTACACAAAGACCAGCTCATTGGTCAGCTCTTACAGGAAGGACAGGTGGGACGATATGAGCTTGTGAAACCTCAGCCATCTCACTAATTTGCATGCAGAGCAAAGCGGGGAAACAAACAGACAAACCGTCATCGGCTTGAACAAATCCCACTCAAGTGTAACTGCTGTTTATACTTGTGTGATACATTTACAACACACGTTAATAAATGGGAATCCTTCAGATATCACCTGTGGTTTCTGCATTCCTTGCCATGAAATGTACTTTAGCTTTAGGATGAGTAATTGAATTTGTATTTTCTTTGTCTCCTGCCATTCCACATATCCTCTATTTGTTTCACTTTTGCACAAGCTTGTGTTCAGTGCTTTATGGGATCATGTCCTGACGATGCTCCAGTTATTTCATTATTTAATAAAATGGCTTTACAAGGTTTTTGTCACCAAAATTCAGTTTTTGTTATGTGGCTCCATAAGGAACCTGGCAGAATATGCAGCTTTTCACTGCTTTTTCTGTGAACATTGTAGAAAGTTGACTGTCAGAGGACTAGAGAGGCATTAACATCAAAACTGTAGCTAGGTGTACCTGTCTCACTGTAGTGACACATCTCTATTCAGCAATACTGTTGTTTGCCCTTCTAACACCCAGAGACCATTCTACAAGTACAAACTGCATCATGATCAGAAAATCAAAGCTGTGATCTTTGTTAAATGTCAGTTGTGTTGGTTTGTGAGTACAGTTAACTTGTCTGCTTGTTTTCACAGCTGTAATAACTGAATAAATTAAAACTGATAACCATCAACAGGCTGAGCTTGATTGCGATGGATATTTTTGATACCGTGAGTTAAAAAGCAACAAAGATGACTGATGTATATTTATTTTATTTACAAGAAAATGTACAGTTTGTTACATGGGTTACCAGTGCAAAGGTTTATAATCTGAAAACAGACACCATCCTGTTCAAACCGTGTAATCAGCCTATTATAATAGCTGATTTGTAAGATTGTAAAATAGCATAGAAATGTTCTCACACAGCCTTTGAATGTCAGCATTATGAAACTCTGTATGAAGCAAAGTGAAGTGCCCGAAAAGGGTACTAAATGTCTTGTTTCTGTGTTGACGAGGGACATATATATATATTCACCAATATCTAGAACATTTTTAAAATCAAAAGGCATGGCTTTGTAAGTACATTTGAGAGAAAAATGACCCCCAAAGGCATCTGTTAGAGGGATGGATGTCCATGCCAAGGTTAATTTTCTATCCCTCTGAAAGGCTTTCAAAAGGCAGAAAGAAAGAAACCCAAAAGGAAGTGAGGCCACTAAAACAAGGAGATACACCCATACACAGGTTTGTTTTTTTGTTGTGGATATGAACTTTTGGTATCTACACAGCAAACCACACAGCAAGCACATCTAATAAACTGTCACCATCATCCAACCAGTTAATAAATAAACAGGTAGAAAAGTGACAACTGAGAGACTGGCTATTGCCTTTTTTTTAAAAAAAGAAAAAGAGTTGGGGCACGTAGCAAGTAACCCAGATATAACAAGGTACATTAACTTTTAACAAACATACGCTATTGCCCAACAATAGCATTCGGCAGGAGTGAATGCCACAACACAACAGCATACAAACCTAGCAACAGTTATGGAACAAATATACTGAGAAGGATTTTAAGATGTGTCATTTTATTTCTGTGAGATCAGTTGTTTGCTTGATCGGTGGTTTCTTGATTCGGGGCTGGACACTGTTCATACTCGAACAATAACTGGGGTCAACAGTCACGCCAACTCTGTTCAACAATAGCAGAAACCCTCTTCTCGTACTCCCGCTTGTTTTCCTGGTACAGCTGGGCTGCTTGGCTGTTGGCTGGACTGTTTGGGTTTGGCTCATCCAGTAAAGACTTTAAATATACAAGAAGGAATGTCAGCGGGTTAGGTTTCGAATAAAGCTTTATGACATCACGTGTATAAATTACTGGACTGTTTATGAAATGTTAGGGTATTATTTTTCTTTGTCGTCACAACAAATTTTCTCTGTATTTTTAAAATGAATTTGCACTGACACGTGATGTGTTTATCAGCAAGAAGGAGTGTTAGATTACCTGTATTGAAGTTAAGATTGAGGAGACATCATAGGTTGGACTCCAACGATTCTGAAGTATATCTAAGCATATGCTGCCATCTGCATACACTGCAAAAGAACATACAGGATATTTTTTTAGATCAAACAAAAAAACAAGTCAGGTGTGCTAGAATTAATAAAAGATAAATATAACAACTTTTAAAAGCTGCAGTTTGCATTGTTCCACCCCTGGCAGTGACGTACGTACCATTTGGATGAAACATTTTGGAGACAAATCGCACTGTTGGAGGTTTATTTGGATATTCCTCTGTGAATTCGATGGTAAGCTTGAAGGTTCCTGGAAGTACGAAGTAATAGCACGGTATTAACTGAAACGTATTACAGCATTACGGTAGACAACTACAAAATGTCAGCGTCTGGCTGGTTGTTCTGGTGATGTTGATATAACACTCCAACGTCAGCTGCTCACTTAGTGATAAGAAACTGATTTGTGTCATTTTAAATTTTCCTAATGATTTTTTATTGCACAGCCCAAAAAAAAGAAAGATTCATCAAACTGGTTAATTCATTTTAAGAATGGCTAGAATCCGTTTTTGCAAATTATTACTTTTCTTGGTTCACATAAGCTGCAGAAGTCAGTGAGGGAGTTAACTCCAAGTCAAAGGTTTGCCTTCTTGGACAACTAAACTTATTAAAAACACAGACTGATCCATGATCAGAAATTAAACAAAAACAAACTCAACGGATACTCGAATCTACTAATAATCATACAGATTTATATAATCTAACTTCCACAATACAATGCTTAAAGTCATCATGGAGATGTGCTGGGTTCATGTCATGGCAGGGTTGGAGAGATAAATTATTTGGATATAAAGAGCTTCAGAGAAGACTTACCATCTTCAAAAGGTGTTCCCTCCGGTCTAAAAGAGAAGTAATACACAACTTACAAAAAGCTCATGTAAACTTTTCATACTGTAATTTAAAATACTCGTGAAAGCTTCTAACATAAACTACAGATTTAATTATCATTTTATGTGAAAAACAAAAACAAAAAAACAAGCAGTGAATACTTAGACAGAATAATTAAATACTAAAATATCTAAAACTCCTGTCGTAATCTTTAACATCTCAAGCAAACTGACTTACCCAAAAATGACAGCGTTCCATACCATGATATTGTTTTCTGACGGGGCCCCACTAACCCCAGCTGGAGGATCCTCTTGCAGCCTGGCAGATAAGAGCACGGTGGTATCACATAAACATATGATAACAGACAGAGCTAAACACATACAAGTTAAAGTCATTACTGCAAGACAAACTGCATTTTTACCATGAGGGTCAATAGGGCAAGAAATTAATGATAATTCCTAATATTAAAAATTGGTGTAGTGAAGCTTCTAATATATACATCTGCAAACAGCAAGCGTATAATAAATATAAGCAGGAAGTTGTGTCTGTAAGCCTGGAGTAAGCAAGTGTATGCTGAAGGAGGGCTGACAGTTTGCAGCAAACACTCCACCAGGATGTACAGCTGGGTGTTATAACAACATAATACAAACATTACTATAATACTAATTATTCATTTGGATTGTTTTGGTAATATAAGAACAACAATCACGCTATAATTGTGTTGTATTGTGGTAAAATACGCCCATAGTGTGCTGTTCTGTCTGAACAATGAAAATGAACAATGGCTTTACCTGCTTGATAATTACAACCACATTCTTAATGTTTGTGTTTATTGTTTACTAAAGTTTGCATGGTCAAACAAATACTGCCATGAATGATTTTAGACAGTGGGCCAACCCAGATTAGCTCGGTCTTGGACTCAGTGAATATCAGTACTGTTTAGTTGGAACATACTGTAGATCAGGGATAAGAAACCATGTGCCATATCCGACTGTGCTGAGAGTTCACAGGTTTTCAGTGACTGCATGGCAGATGGTTGCTTATCCTCAGGCTTATATGGTGATCTACGAAGGCCCAGGGATAGGAGCTCCCTTTATCAGTCAACAAGCGGTTCATCTGGCTGTAAAGGGCCATCTGGTCACTGACTTTAACTGTATCCCCAATAACCTGTTACACACACAGCCCACACAAATCATATATGAACAGAGACACTGACAGTTTCGGGGAAGGCTCACGGATGAGTGATTCTGTTACACTGGACAATAAAACGCAGTAGTGGTACACCTACATCTACTAAGGTGAGCAGTAAGTTACACAACATCAACGTTACTACTCCCGGCTGCCCTCCACCGACGAGTAACGCTAACAAATATCGTTACCTGTCGATACCTCACCAGACAGTAGTTCATTTTAATACCACCCAACGGCAGCACACCTCACCAAAGACAGAAACTACGACTATACGACTCATTGATGATGATGATGGTGTTGTAGTTTAGAATGCCGTTTGGGCTAACGCTAACAAGCTAGCCGGAGGTTGCTAACGTTAGCTGTAGCTACTTCTCTGTTGTTTTCTTTTCGCTTACCGTTTAAAATCTCTCATTAAACGTCGTCTTGCTGGAGTTGACATCCTGTTAACACGGAAACCTAAATCCTTGACATAAACGTAAGCAGTTCAAGTGTAAGGAAATGTATTTTTTTTCCTTTTTGTCGGTGTGTTAGTTCAACTCTTAGCTGGCTAGCCAACGATTGCTAGTTTGTGAAATATTTGGGTGCCTCTGCTAGTCTAAGGGCGATACCACTTAGACTGGAAAGAGGACATTTATATCGACTGGCTCTAAATTAGTGAGCTCTATAGCCTCATAAACACAAATTAACAGTATCACGTAACACAGCGCTGTCGAGTATACTAGTTTATTTGTGTGAATTAGTTTCAGCTCGTTGTACATATAGCTAGAGTATTTTTTATAAAGCCGAGAGGACCCCGTCCCTACACTTGTAACATTCCAGCGAAAATTACGTCATATGTTTAGCACCCATATTTAGTGTGTTCGGAACACGATAAAGATTAATATGTTTTTAAGGTTTTATCCTTCCCTTCTTCCACGTATTCGTTATTTTTTAAATCAATGTATCGATTAATTCAATCCATGTTCAATTAATTGCTTTAGGTATAACCAGTGGCTGTTGCTAATACAGGGTATTTGTGGCTGACATCTTGTGTGGAATTTACAGTAACATTGAAAGGCCACTAGATGGTACTTAGCTCACAAGTGTTGTAAATCATACACACCACAACAACCCGAAACACGAGTAATAACACGGCTGCCTTAGATTGAACTTATAACGACGGCTTAATTGGTCGTACGTTATAGAAACCGGTGTAAAAACATTATCAGTGATCAGAAACACAATCTGATATGAGTTCACCCAGTAGAAAGGCGCTGTCTTTGGCCGAAGTGATGCCAGTCCCATATGGTCTAGCGGTTAGGATTCCTGGTTTTCACCCAGGCGGCCCGGGTTCGACTCCCGGTATGGGAACTGCTCTTTTTCTTTCTTTCTTTCTATCTAAATCTATAGACAACAACACATAAAGGCTAATGTGTCTATGACTCCGACAATATACTCATATTTCATGTCACTGGGAGCACATGATTATCGATAAATGGCTTAGCTGGAGGTTATTTGATACAGCTTTCACAACATAAGCTCATCATTTCCAGTGAACCTATTGCAGACCCCGCCCGTAGAGGAGTTCACGTTATCCTCGATTGCTCTCATCTCACAAGGGCTTGGACATTCCCGGAAGATGCGCTTTTCCACTTACATCTCCCTTATCGTTGTCTAACGCAGTAAAGAAGAGCCAACTGGACTCAAACCAAACTCTTAGCTCGTACAACCGACTGTTTATTTTTTTACGTCCGCAGTTTAATTTGACTAAATCGTATTGAGCTGTTGTCAAAATTGCTTGTAAAGCCACACCTGTGACCGCCTTCGGTTTACTAAACATTACCCGAAAGCTAACTTGCAGTGCAAAACAATCCATATCTATTCCCCGGTGGTAGATGACACTACCCACCTAAATCATACTAATATCGATTAAGAATAAAACATTCCTTTATCAGCGCGGACTCTTAACAACTTTTTTCATAAAGTCTTTTAGTCCACCATCGTCCCTCGGTGCTCATTGCTGAACTGTAAAAAAAAAAAAAAAAAACTCTCCGGTTTTGCTTACTACAACCAGGCTGCAGCCAAACTTTGGTGTCGGGCCAATCATTTCCCAGGAAAATGTGACTGCTAGGAATTCCCCACGCATCAGCCCCTCTCGGAGAAAACTGCAACCTTGTGTCAGGAAACACACGAAAGCAGCGGGAGGGTAAACTGACCGGTGACTATGAGATGATGTAGCTACAGTACCGTGTGTCTCCAGCTCTCACCAGGGATAATAATGTTTTTCTAACGTCGCCGTGTTTCATGAGGACATCCACTAACCTAGCCTGTATAAAGCCAGGGGAATGTATACAGTGCTGATGACAGCCTGAACCAGGGTAAGTCCACTGAGGATCTTTTTTTAAAAAGCATGTTTTATAGCTATTGCTTGCTTTTCTTGTAACTAATAATATGCAACAATGTGTGTAGCTATAATGTGAGTTTCCCTGTGGAGTTATGTCTATATTATTCCTCTTATTGGGGCTTTTAATGTGAAATAATCAGGATTTGTAGCAGATGGTGGCTATAGTAGAGGCCTTTTCATTGCTCTATGCCCACACTCAAAAAGTTACAACTAAGAAAGCATGATTTAACTCATATGATGTTAGGAGTAGCCCGCTGGGGCTCATGCAGCTCTGCTTTGCCTACTGGATCTCTGTGACTCCCCTTTGTGTCAGTCAGCCGGCATGTGACTGCACTGATGGTGAGTGTGTGTGTGTGTGTGTGTGTGTGTGTGAAGATGTTGGTGCTTCAGAGACAGTGCTACACCTAAAATGGCCAATTTGTATTAGATGACAGTCACAGTCATAAAGGGATTGCCAGGGTAGTTATTTTTTTAGTGTTACTACATTGATTAGAGCTCTAATACTGAAAGTTAAAATGAGCAGAGAGCACTCATTGTGTCCTCCATAGTCAGAATTAACTCTTGACCCTGTGATCCCAGGTGTGGCCCTGTCAAGGAAACATGGAAAATGCCAACCTACTGTATTCACAACTGACCTCTCACCTCATTGGTATTATAGCTGGAATCATTAGTCAGTTAATCCATGAGTCAGTCCACAGGCAATATGGCAATATCGGATATTTTATTTTTTTTTTACGCTTTTTTGTTTTGGACTGTTGGTTACACAGAATCAGCATTTTAAATATGTCAGCTTGGTCATTTTTCACTATTTCCTGAAATTGTACCAACCTCACTGCAACCCTATTTGACCCTAAAAGAAAACAATGAAAAAGTGATGAAAACTACAGCAGCTATTGATGCATTACCAAACGTCTGTGTCTGCAGAGCGTGGATAGTGGATCAACCCTATTCTGTGGCAATTCTAAATGTTTGCCAGATGTTTACATTTTTGGCCTAAGATGCTTGTGTCATGGGGCAGACAAAACACGATCTCATTGGTCGGCTGCCGTTGCTCCCTTCAGAGGAGGCGGCTGTGACGCAGAGGGAAGGGGAGAGTTACGAGCGATTAGCTTGTCAGTCCCACTAGAGACAGGACCAGCTGGGCCCACCAACCCTTCACCCACCCTGTGTCCCCCCTCCTCCCCTCCCCTCCCTATGGTGGGAACACTGGCAGAGGCTTGTGGATAATTGGAAACTTCAATCCACTGAAAGCAATTATCTAGAACAAGACTTTCCAAATATACTCCAGTGTGGAGTCATGTTGTTTGTTTCAAGCATGTGCCCTTGTTTTTAGAAACATCCTGCCATGCTTCTGCCCACACATTCAGCCTCTATTTTGCCTCTTTTCCGCTTTGAGTGATACGGTGTGTGTGTGTGTGTGTGTGTGTGTGTGTGTGTGTGTGTGTGTGTGTGTGTGTGTGTGCGCGCGCACTGCAAATAGTGTGGTTGTGGCTGAAGCAGTTCCCGGTAGCTTTCTTATCCTGTGACAGTGATGTCACCGTCAGCAGTCTGAGCAGTAAGGAGGAGTGCGAGGATGACCAAGGTCAACAATAGAGAGCTGTCCTGTGCTGCACTCCCTTTAGTGATGAGGAGCTCCACAGACATCAGACACTTCTTCTTCTTGCCCAAGATGTGCCCGCCTGCCTTAATGGGCTGCTGGATATTGATTTGGCTACACAAAAAGAAGATCTGAGCTTTTATCCTATTTAGAAAGCAGCACTCCAGTTTCACAAAAGCTTTCAGAGTAGCCTTGGAAGAGACGGGAATCCAGACGCTTTTTTTTTTTTTTTCTTTTGCAATTTGGCATGTGTGGTCATCTGTAAAAACAGGTTTACCTCCCTGTAACAGAGATGTCTGAGTGCCCATTCATGTACCTACAAATAAAGTTTACTTGGTCACTAACTCCTGCAAGTTTAAACAGTGTGATAGCTGAACAACACGCTTGAGGACACAGAGTTTACATAATGACACTCTTAGGTGTAAATTAATTGGGTGCCTTAAAAATAACCACAAGATGGCAATGTTCATATGCTTTGACTAAACAAACAATCATATGAGATGGCTGAAACCTTAAATGACTTGCAGAAATGCAGGAACCGACTCGTGAAAAGAGAAATAAAACTGTTGAACTTCCCTTTTTTTTACATGTCGAAAAAATACCCCCATGTTGGCCTGTTTTCTGTACAGGGCTTGCAGGGGAACTGCTGTTTGCAAAGTTCCTTAATTGTACGCTGCTGTTTCGGCACCGCCACGCTTTTTGACACCTGAATATCACCTTGTCAGACATGTTGGATTGCTAGGCAGCGGCAGCAGTAAACCGCTGCCACTGGACATGACGTCAGAGAGAAATTAGAGACAAGGGAAATTCCACCTGTAACCTCATTCTGCTCTCATGCTGCCTGTCTCACGAGCATGTGACTTGGACAAGTCATCATGCCTTAGTTTCTTCATGAATCTGTGCATTGTCGTGATGTAATAGAGGATTACAGCCAAGCTATTTTTAGCATGTAAAAGGAGGACAAGTGGACTTTGTGTTTGAAGTTTGTAGTTGTGAATAAATGTGGTAGTAAAGTTTAGTTTATTTTAAATCAGTCAGATTTGAGCCTTCAGAATATCCAGGAGGTGAACAGTAAACGGTTAATGAAGAATAGCTGTTCTGATGCATCGTTATAATATGGTCTTCAGTATTGAAGATGTTTTTATTCAGTAATCATGAATTAATAAATTAAGGTGATAATCAAGTGAGAATAATAAAACCAACATTTGAAAAGAAGCATTACAGTTTTACCTTAATGAATAGTTTGACATTTTGGGAAATACGCTGATTAGCTTTCTTGCTGAGAGTTTGATAAGAATATTGATAGCACTGTCATGTCTGTACAGTAAATATAAAGCTACTACCAGCTGCTAGTGAGTTCAGCTTAGCATCAAAACTGGAAACAGGGGAAACAGCTAGCCAGCCTAAAGGTAACAAAACCTGCCTGTAAACCCGTAGTTGTTATATGGAATAAACAACAAGATACACCATGGTAATGTGTGAACTTTATAGGTACTAAACAGATTTTTTTTTTTACCTTAGGACAGAAGCCAAGTTAGCTGTTTGCCCTGTTTCCAGCCTTCATGCTATGCTAAGCTAACCGGCTGCTGGCTGTAACTTAAAGGATCAGGGTGTATTGTTATTGGCATTTAATGGTGCACATCGTAACTCCCTCTCAACACCCAAAATGCAAACACCCCTATCTAGAGCCAGTGTTTGCTTTGTCCCTTCTTGCATGGCGGACTCCATGGACAACGATCCGTGGCGTCTGTAGATATAAACGTCTCATTCTAAGATAACAAAAACACAATTATTCTTATTTTCAGGTGATTATACACTAATGAAAACATACCTATTAATAATATAATATTCCATTTCTGCCAATAGATCCTCCTAAGTGTTACACACCGGACCCTTTAATATGTATATATATATATATATAGACAGAGAAGAGTGGTATAAATCATTTATTTCTTGGTTAAAAAGGGAATAATTGTATTTCCCAAAATGTCAAACTATTACATTTAAATGAAAAATTAAAAGACACCGCATTAGTTTAGATTTATCATGCAAAAGCTGCATGTATCACACAACCTTAGCCTTAATATATGACTTTGTCTGCAGGGAGAACCATGGTACGATGAATCAGAGTATATAGTGTCCACTCTGGCAGCATGTTGACCTCATGAGATTAGTTAACCACATTAGTCCACGTAAGCACACTATGTAATAAGCTGTATCTGTAGCTGATGTATGTGTGATTATATTAAGCAGTGATGGCTGCGTTTGTAATGTCCTAGCTCACTGAAGTTCGACAACACAAGATAAGTAGTTCATCACAAAAATAGAAACCGGCTTTCCCCAACTTTTGGCGCATTATGACATTTCACAATATTTTATTTTTCATGTCTCTCAGAGCTAATGAGGTAGTAGTGAGCGGCTCACGGAGGCCTTCCATGACTCAGCTCAGCTCAGTGGTGTTTGGATTCAAACCCTGAGCTTTGCCCGAAGAAGCCAAACGATCTCTCCTCATTCAACTTTCAACAAGTGTGACTAATATAAGCGATGACAGAGTCGACAGAATTTTCAGTGAGCTGTGGCAGCTCATCACATTTGCTGAGGGGCAGTTGTCTGTCTTCACCATCAGTAAATTTTGTTTGTTTTTTCTTTTGGGTTAATTTCAGAGTGACAGGCAGCCCACAGGCCTGCTGAATTATTTAACTGCCTGCAGCCAATGGGTATTATAATCTAGGCCCTCAGTGACAGAGCAATATGCTCCTAGGGCCTCGTGGCATTTTATTAATAATGAGCTTGAGATAAACTAGAGCTCTCGGGTTAGAAACGGCTGACACATGCTGGAGCGGGCTCGCTCTCAGCGCTGAATTTGCTGGTGTGACACAGACAGACTTTTCAAAACCTCAGTGATTATTTATAAAAAAGATGTCTGTGTGGGAAACAACAGTTCGGTGGTAAGTGACGTGATGTAGCAATGAACGCTTCGTGCTTGCAGGTAGCAGGTACAGCCCGTAGAGGTGTGATGTGGATGATCTGGACTGTCGGACTGCTCTCTGTAGTTGATAATTAATGATCTGCAGTTTGTATGTGTGCATGTGGATTCGGCAGCAGTAGTTCTAATGCTACTAAAACAGCTAGCGCCCCCTTTATCTGTTCAACAGCTACTCTATGCGTTATAAACCAGAATATTTGTGCCACCTGTTTGGTTTATTGGCCAACCCACACAGAAGATAAGTTGAATACTATGGGAACTTCCACTGGCCTCGAGACCAGGTTTAGTGCCGTGAGCTATTTAAAAAGGCCCCAATATGTTTCGATTTTATTGTTAAAGCTGCTATAATCAATGTTTTTATACTAACAATGGATCAAATGACCATGTGTTT